CAAGAAATAAATGCTTTTTCACGAACAGCGCACGCCGATGCGACGTACAAACGGGAAATAAACGCTTTTTTTCAAGATAACATGCGATGATGCGAACTACTGAATTAATTAGAAATAAATGCTTTTTTTCCGAATAACGCACACCTATGCGACGTACAAACGAGAATTAAACGCTTTTTTTCAAGATAGCATTCGATGATGCGAAGTACTGAACTAAGTAGAAATGAATGCTTTTAATCCGTATAACGCACGCCTATTCGACGTACTAACGTGAATTAAACGCTTTTTTTCAAGATACCATGCGATGATGCGAACTACTGAACAAACTAGAAATAAATGCTTTTTCTCCGAATAACGCACGCCTATACGACGTACAAACGAGAAATAAACGCTGTTTTTGAAGATAGCATGCGATGATACGAATAACTTAAATAACTAGAAATAAATGATTTTTTCCGCATAACTCACGCCTATACATATATCATCCCATGCTATCTTGAATAAAAGCGTTTATTTTTCGTTTGTATGTCGCATAGGCGTGCGCTATTCGTGAAAAAAGCATTTATTTCTTGTTTTTTAAGTTGTTCGTATCATTGCATTCTATCTTTAAAAAAGCGTTTAATTCTCGTTTAACGTCGCATAGATGTGAGTTATTCGGAAAAAAAGCATTTATTTTTAGTTAATTCAGTAGTTTGCATCATCGCATTCTATCTTGAAAAAAAGCGTTTAATTCTCGTTTGTACGTCGTATAGGCGTGAGTTATGCAGAAAAAATCATTTATTTCTAGTTATTTAAGTTATTCGTATCATCGCATGCTATCTTCAAAAAAAGCGTTTATTTCTCGTTTGTACGTCGTATAGGCGTGCGTTATTCGGAGAAAAAGCATTTATTTCTAGTTTGTTCAGTAGTTCGCATTATCGCATTCTATCTTGAAAAAAAGCGTTTAATTCTCGTTTGCTCGGAAATTTAGGATCGCTGATCGGCGGAGCGGCCGGCGTGGCGAAGATGGTGAACGACGGTAAAGACCGCGCGTCGACAATTGGAGGAGCTGCAGCGACACAATCGATTGATGGAGAGCCGCGGTTTGTATCTCGCGCCTTACAAGCGCGGCGGAAGCATCGCGAGACGAGGCGGACGAACGGTTAGAAGGGGGAGGAAGAAAGAAAAAAGTCGCGCCTTCGCGCGCGTTAGACGACGTCGTAGCTCCGATCGGCGTCACGACGAACGAACAGTTGAATAGCGCGTCCTAGCGCGCTCGCGTGCGTCACTTCAGAGGTGTGTTCATGCGCGACGCGTTGCCGGCGCGAGTTCGTCGCGACGAGAGTAGTATCGTGAACCTGGACGACGCCTCGGGGCCGGGCACGAATTGGGTGGCGTACGCTAAAAGGGGAAAAGACGCTATCTACTTCGACGCTTTCGGCAATCTTCGGCCGCCTCGAGAACTCGCGCGTTATCTCGGACGCGACACGCGCATCGCGTACAATCGCGACTCTCAGCAGACGTACGATCAGAGCGTCTGCGGACAATTGTGTCTGCGCTTCCTTCGATGAGTCGATTGGGGAGGAGGAAGGAGGAAGCCCTTCGGTCTCTAACGGCGATAGCGCGCGTCGTCATGTCGCTGATTCTCACGCTGACCGGAAGAAGCAACGTTCTTATGGCGAGTTACTTTCCGCCTCTCGATCTGAGCGACGACGATTACGAGCTCGACCTGACCAATTTCGAGACCTACAACACGATTCGACAACACGAACGTGAATTCCTCGAACAATAAATTTTACTTCGACGACAACGACGAGACGATCGCGATCCCGATCGGTTCCTACGAGCTGCGCGATATAAGCGCGTACCTGAGAGCCGCGATTCTTCGAAAACGGCGACAACCGCCGAGCGCGAGTACCGGAGGGAGAGACGGCGGCGATGGCGCCAGCGACGGCGACGATGACGAATATCTGTACGACGTCGAGAACGCGGAGGACGAGAGCGGCGATCGCGTTCTCGCGCTACGAGGTAACGACAATACCATGAGAAGCGAAATCAAATGCGCGTACCGAATTAATTTCACCAAACCGAACAATATCGGATCGTTATTAGGTTTCTCCCAGTCTCGCGTATTGTGGCCGAACAAATGGTAAGCGTCCGACGAGCCCGTGAGCATTATCGCGGTTAACACGATTCGCGTGGAGTGCAACCTGACGACGGGCGCGTACGTGAACGGGAGATACGCCCACGCGATACACGAATTCGCGCCGAATGTCCCGCCGGGATATAAAGTGTCGGAGATCCCGAGATCATTTATCTGCCGGTCATCGCGCGACTCGTGACCGACGTATCGCTGCGCGTCGTCCATCAGGACGATCGATTGATCGATTTCCGCGGCGAGGAGATCTCCATTCGATTGCACGTGCGACGCAGACGATAGAGAGCGCGTGGCGAGACGCGAGGACGGAGGAGGGAACGGGGCGATGCTCGTCGTGCGCGAATCTAGCGTCGCGACGTCGCATCGCGGCGGCAGCGGCGGCGACCGCGATCGCGTCGCGGGAACTCGAGTCACGCGCTCGAGAGAGAGGAGCGTCGGGGGATTTTCCATCGCCAACGTCGCTTTTCTGCGATCCATGGGTTTCGTCGTACCGAGAGCCGCTCGATAGTTCGACGACATGAGGGACATTCTGAGCATCGGCGGAGAACCCGTCTTCGACGATCGCATCGTGAAGATCGAGAGTCACACGTACAATCCGTACGCCAACACCACTTTCGGATACAGCGACGAGATACGAATACCCATATAATAGCAGGACCTATACACGCTGCCGTGTGAGAGTTTTCTCTACGTCGAAGGTAGACTGCACGCGAAGAATAATCCGCCGCCCGCGTCGAACGGCGAATCGGGTAAGCCTGCCTCGGCCTCTAAGGAGCCGTCCGTGTCCTCGACACCGGCGTGGCTCGTGAACAATTGCGTCGCCTTTATGTTCGAGGAGATACGTTACGAGCTCGATGGCGTGGAGATCGATCGTAATCGCAACGTCGGAATAACTAGCACGATCAAGAACTACGCCTCGCTGACGACCGAACGAGGCAAGATCTTGAAGAATGCCGGATGGGATCTCGCGACTGGACCGAGCGGCGTCGCGTCGACGGGCGACTTCAACTTCTGCGTTCCTCTCAACACGCTGCTAGGTTTCTGCGAGGATTACAGGCGCGTCGTCATCAACGCGCGTCACGAGCTGATAAGAGCGCGAAACGACAACAATTGTCTGATATCGCGCGAGGAATTCGAGCCGAGAGTCGAGCTCGCGAAGATACAATGGCGCGTGCCGCACGTGGTGCTGAATGACGTCAACAAATTATCGCTGTTGCGCACGTTGGACAGCGGCAGATATCTGAGCGCGCCCTTTCGCTCGTGGGATCTCTACGAGTTTCCGCTCCTGCAGAGCACGACCAAACACTCGTGGGCCGTAAAAGCGGCCACGCAGCTCGAGAAACCGCGTTACGTCATCTTCGCGTTGCAGACCGGAAGGAAGAACGTCCTGTCGTAGGACGCTTCCAGATTCGACGCGTGCAATCTGACCAACGTAAAGTTGTATCTCAATTCCGACTTCTATCCGTACGACGATATGAATTTGGACTTCGATAAGAACAAGATCGCCGTACTGTACGACGCCTACGCGAGATTTCGACGAATACGTATTACGGATCCGCGAGCGACGAGACGCTCCTGACTATGAACAAATTTCTATACTGCGGTCCACTCGCGGTGATAGATTGTTCCCGCCAAAACGAAGCGATTAAGAGCGCCACTGTGGACGTTTCTAGAATTCGACTGCAAGGACAACGTTCCTTTTAACACCACGGCGTATTGTCTAATCATTCACGATCGCGTGGTGGAGTACAATCTGTTGACGAACGTAAGATCCTGTAAGACGACGTGTCGGACGGGAGGGGGGAGAGAGGAAACTCGAAATCGATTCGTGACGAAGGAAATGGCGATATTCGCGAACGGCAGAAATCTGACGCATCACGTCTTTCGCGCGCCGATGTCGTGGAATCTGCTGACGAAGAGCGAGAAGTCGCAGGCCTGTTGGCTGACTCTTAATCACCACGAATTTCACTGGACCGACGGGCACGTGGAGTATAGGCACGCGAATCAGATCGTTCGCGATGCGATATATCGCGCGTCGAGGGATCTCGAACGCCGCGGTGACGATCTACGTCAAGGGTCGCGAGAAGAAGAAGTGGCTGGCTGACATCGCGGGAGAGGTCGCGGAGCAGCTCGACCTGACGATTGAGACCATCGACGCCGATTACGAGGATATCGGACCCCTTCGAACGCTAGTCGTGACTCGCGTCTATCGCTGCGACTATCACTCGAAGAATTGCGCCTTGGAAAACGTGTGCAAACTGCACAACTGGTGGTTGGAGAGACGCGATCAATTGCGCGACATGTGAACAGAGACGCGTCGCGCGATGATTCGCGCGCCTCGCGCGTTTTCCGCATCGTAGATTAGTTTTGCGCGTACTCTTATCAACGACTTTTTTTATCTCGCGCGCGTCGACTTATCGCCTACCTAAAAAAAAGTATTTTTAATACTTAGAAAGATACTATTAATACTAAGAAAAATAATATTAATATTAAGAAAAAATAATATTAAAGTAATATTAAAATAATATTAAAATAATATTAATTAGCGAATAAACGTTAACTCGTATCGCGCGTACGCGGTTAAACGCATTTTCCGGCACTTCCTCCGGAGCAATTGAGAATTTATCGCGCCTCATTAAATTACCTCGTTATATTTCCGCGTCGCACGATTTTTTCATACCGCCTTAGATTATAGCATTAGCATTAGCATTCGACGGAATCATAACGACTCGGCGATAGCGATATCGCGCGATTTTTTCATACCGCCTTAGATTATCGCATTAGCGTTCAACGGAATCATAACGACCCGGCGATAGTAATATCGCAGGTATAAATTAACGCCGAGAGACCGTTTTTCCTCAGAATGAGTCTCGCGATCGCGTTATTGAGTGCGTCTGATATTGCGAGTGTTCTCAGTGCGTCCAGTGTTCCTAGCGTGTCCAGCATTCATTCTCGTAGTTATTCTTTCGCGCGAACGACGATGAGCAACAACTATGAAATTTCGAGATTGCGGAAGATGCTCCAGGAATGCACGCTCACGCCGTGGATGTGCGTCTGGAAGATACAGTACATCAGAAATCTCATGAATGCGATCCTCAATATAGCGGTAACGTGGAACATAAGTACCCGTTCGTCATCGTTCTTTATTCTTTCGCTCTCCTTCGAGGAAAAATACGACGTACATTGATCGCGCGACATTTTTTTTCATAGTTCGAGAAGGAGGTGGAGATCCGAGGACATACGCCGAGGACTAACGTCGTTAACATACGCCGCCGACATTGGATACGACAGACGAGACTGAAGCAACGGCGATTCTTAAACTCGTTATAGTGCGACCGGCCGTCCTATAGAAAATGGGAGAAGCGCTCTCCTAATATCTACGCCGACATATTTCGGCTAAGAAGATTATTCGGTATGGAGCCGCTCGTCTCGGATCGCGCGTTTAAAACCGAAGATTTCTGCGACGACGATTCTCCTGTGGAGATATGGTACGATGACGCGAGCTCGCTCGAGGAAACGAGCTCCGTCCGCACGGACGACAGCGGATTTTAACCGAGGTACGGATCTCTTCTCGTATAACGCGCCATTCTTTCCTTTCGCGTATCTCGATACGAATTATTAATACACGGCTTTACATATTTCAGACGTCTCGTCAATCTCGAATCGAAGGACGGTGCTGGAGGACGGCGTCGAAGGACAGCGCCTTCCCTTCCTCTCGATCTCCGCCCGCATCGCCCCCCCTCCCCTTGCGCGCGTCGAAACTCATCGTCGCTCGTGTGAGCGGAGTTCGTTTCGTCGATCGGACTAATATCTTCGCGCCACATTTCTACGAAGGATTCGTTATCATAGAGATGTACGTGTCGGCGCACTCTTTCAGATACACGATCCTCTATATTCATCTCCGTATTCGTACAATCCATTTTATAGGGTCGTTTATAAGTCATTTATGGTTGATTTATGGTTCATTTATAGGTTGATTTATGGTTTATTTATAGGTTATTTATAGTTCATTTATGGTTGATTTATGGTTCATTTATAGATTGATTTATGGTTCATTTATAGGTTATTTACAGTTCATTTATGGTTCATTTATAAATGATCCCATTTATGATTCATTTATAAGTTATTTATGGGCTATTCATAAGTAGCTTCCCAGGTAGCGGAGTGATGAACTCTTAATAACATTTTAGTAATGTCAGTTGAAGAACGCGTCAGTTTGAGTACATAAGTCTTGTTTTGCCGCTCCTTCTTTTTTAAATGGTCATTTCATATGGGTCGTTCTTACAGTCGTTCTTACAATAAATTTTCCAGTTTAAACGCGCATGTTTTTGTAAGACCGTTTATTTTAGATACGTAATTTTTTTTTTAAATGATCGTTTCACATAGGTTGTTCTTACAGTCGTTCTCACAGGTCGTTCTTACAGGTCGTTCTTAGGTCGTTCTCACAGGTCGTTCTCACAGGTCGTTCTCACAGGTCGTTCTCACAGGTCGTTCTCACAGGTCGTTCTCACAGGTCGTTCTCACAGGTCGTTCTCACAGGTCGTTCTCACAGGTCGTTCTCACAGGTCGTTCTCACAGGTCGTTCTCACAGGTCGTTCTCACAGGTCGTTCTCACAGGTCGTTCTCACAAATCGTTCTCACAGGTCGTTCTCACAGGTCGTTCTCATAGGTCGTTCTCACAGGTCGTTCTTACAGGTCGTTCTTACAGGTCGTTCTTATAGGTCATTTTTTACATACCGTTGCGCGTTAAATCATATTCAATCGTATATATATTTAATGGTCGTATATTTTAATCGTATGTATTTTAATCGTATGTATTTTAATCGTATGTATTTAATAGTCGTATATTTTAATCGTATACATTTAATAGTCGTATATTTTAATCGCATATATTTAATAGTCGTATATTGTAATCGCTATATATCACATCCATCGTCGATAGTCGCACAATTATCGAGAGCAAACAGGGAGGAGGACTCGAAGACCCCGTGTCCTCTCAAACATTATATTAGAATATATTAGAATATTATAATATATTAGAACATTATATTAAGCGTTATATTAAGCGTTATATTAGAATATTATACATTAAACGTTATATAAGTATACGTAGATCGCGCAAATTTTTTTGTATGAATAAAGAATCATTTTTTGTACGAATAAAGAATCATTTTTTGTACGAATAAAGAATCATTTTTTGTACGAATAAAGAATCATTTTTTGAATAAAGAATCATTTTTTTTTTTTTAAACGTTCGTTCTTTCGATCACCTCTCTAGCGCGTCCGAGACTATCTTCCCTCCCCTCCTCTTTTCGTACGAATGACGAATCATTTGTTTCTAAAAAAAAAAAGTTCGTTCTCTCGATCATCCTTCTCGCGCGTCCGAGCGTATCTCCTCTCCCCTCCCCTCGCCTACTCCTTCTCCCTCGTACGACGCTTTCTCGCGTTCTAGAGAACGATATATCGCCGAAGGATGCGCGCGCGATAGTTCGCTACCGTCCCGATCCCCGCGCGCTAGCACCTTGCGAGAGCCATGACACGCGTCGCGTTATCGCTCGCGCTGACGATATCCCTGCTCGCGGCCGTCCTCCGCCGGCGGCACTGATGACGTCGCGGAGGCGTCCCGTTATCTTCGAACCTACGGCTTTCTGGAGAACGAGGAGAATCATCAGCAGTCGTCGCTATTGGACAACGTGACCGCCCTGAGCGAAGCGCTATCATTGTTTCAGGAATACTACAGCCTGCCAGGAAACGGCGTTCTGACCGTGGAAACGATTCGCGTCATGCGCAGGCCGCGATGCGGCGTCGCGGACGTTCACGCTTACAGCCCGTTGACGAGAAAGTGGCCGAGGACGCATCTCACGTGGAACTTCAAACTAGCGAACAGAGATACTCTGCGCACGACTCAGAGCGCGTTCGCTCTGTGGTCCGAGCAATCTTCTCTGACGTTCTCGCGCGACCCGCTGCGATATACTGATATCCTATCAATCCGGCGCTCACGCGTACGAGAACAGCGACAATGGAGGCTCGTGCCCGTCGCCGTTCGCAGGACCGGAATCGGTCGTCGCTCACGCGTTCTTTCCAACGGGAGAATCCAATCAAGTGACCGAGGTGCACGTCGACGAGACGGAGCCGTGGCACATCACGCTGACCAGGCCCTCGTCGGACAGGCTGTATCTCCTTCAGACGCTGACGCACGAGATCGGTCACACTCTAGGTCTGACTCACAGTATGATAGATGATTCGGTCACGTACACGTACACGCCTTCGGAGGAAAGGCGATATCCGCTCAGGCTGAGCATAGAGGACGTCATAAACGAAATCTCTACGGATCGAGAGAGACGACGAATCCTACGATCGTTGACGCTACTCCGACGACCGCGGCGACGACTACGACGACGACGGCCTCGACGACGACTACGACGGCCGCGGCGCCGCCGAGGACGGTTAAGCCGCCGCTCGCTCCCTCCGATACCGCGGATCTATGCGCCTTGAAGCGCGTAGACGGAGCGCTAATCATGAATCGTCGCTTGTACGTCGCGCGTAAACGCAACGTGTGGCCCGTCGATATGAGGGAGAGACGCTACGGAGCGCCCTTCTCGTTCGCCGACTACTTCAAGTTCCTCCCCCGCAATCTCACTCACGTATCGGCCATGTATCAGAGACCCTCGGGCGATATTGCGATATTCGCCGGCGACTACGTCTACCTCGCCGATTCGAATTTTCATCTTAAAGCGGGATGGCCTAGATCCGTCCAATACGTCGGATTTCCTCGCGACGCTAGGATAAACGCCGCGATAAACACGCACGCCGGGCGCAGCTACGTCATATACAACGACGACAAAATAGCCGAGATAAACGACTGCGCGATGACCGTCGCGAGGCACGGCGCTCTGCGGGATACGTTTTCCGGGATGCCATCCGCGATAACGGCCGCCTTCCGCCATGTCGACGGTAATCTCTATTTTCTGAAGAAACGCGAGTATTACGCGTACAGCGAGTTCATCGACGCGATAATCTCGGCCGGTCCCTTTGATCTTAGCATATTGGGAATAGAATGCCCAGCCGATGGCATTCTGCATCGATTGAGCGAACTCGTCTCCAAGCTGTATCGTTTGGAATACGCGTCCTTCGAAAGATCGCGCAACGACGACGACAACGATGACGACTAAGATCAGGAAATCCTGAAACCTAACGTTAAGATTACATTTAATATGCTGTTCTAAACCGCTGTTCTAAACCGCTTCCGCTGCATTAATTAACGCGCATAACGCGCGCGTCGAGAATAAAGATATCGAGACGATGATCGAGATCGCGTCGTATATAAGGCGCGTCTCGATCGTTGTGCGACATTTCCAACGATACTCGCGATTAACGCGCGTACGATTCTAAGCGAGCGTCTCCGACGAATCTCTCTCTCTCCTCGCGACGACCAATGTTAACGATGTCGTCGCCATTTCCGCAGTGTTTTCCTACGAACATCGAAGCCCTGTTCGCGAGACCGATCATGTTCGCCGGACTCGGACAGGAGTACCGCAGAGTGTTCGGGGACTCGTCCGCGACGGCCGCGACTCCGTCGGCGCCGCCGATGACGGGCCCCTTCGTCGCCCCGCCTAACCGTCGAGACGATTACGCGGTTTCCGCCAAGGACGAGGATACCAGGATCGTTCCGATACTCTGCCCGTGATCAAGAAAGCTCGACTGTACACCGAGGACGAGTGAGTATGCGCGACGCTTCGCGAGTTACCTCGCCCGAGCGCTCTCGATCTCCACCTCGATCGGCTATTTCGTATAATAACGTTGTATTTTTTTTTCCGATCTCGACAGATGGAATAGAAACTGGTTGTTCAAACGCGAGATCAATTTCGCGAGACATCCGATTCGGATATTGGGAAGACGATATCCGCTGACCAAGACGGCGTACAAATATATCGGCATCACCGTAGCCGTGAAGCGCGAATCTCAAGTCGACATTGTCCTAGGAGACTGCCATGGAAAGGAGATATCTCTGACGCCCGACATGTGGAAGGATCTGCTCGCTCTGCGCAACGATATACTGCCGTATTTCGAGAACGATTTGGACGAGGCTGTGGCGCGTCCTCCGACGTCCATAATCGTCGGAACCGTGATGCTTCGATTCGGCAAGATAAACAATCTGAAGACGCTGCGATTCGAGACGCCGAAGAATCGCATCGCTCTGTCGCACTTCACCGTGAAGGCGCTGTTCGTTCTCGAGCTATGCGTCAAACGCATCATCGCGTCGTTGACCGGCATACTCGAGACCGTAGACGCTAAGTTATCGCGTTTTCTAGATATCGTCGGAGACCGACCATCCCGGCGATATTCCGGAAGCGATTCGTCGACACGAGCACTTCAACGCGATCGACTGCGAATTACACGCTCTGCTATTCGGACTCTATCACAATTTGTAAAACGCTACGCGCGACGAATAAATGTATCGCGATCTCGAACCGTATCGCGATTTTGCCCGTATAACTGCGCTCGAATGAGGCGAAACGATCGCGAGTACCGATATTATTCTCGACGTATGTATCTACGCATGTAACTTCGTGACATAATAAAAAAATTTTACACGTAATTTATTCTCTCTCTCCTCGATTTACGTCACCCTCGTCTCTCCTCGATTTGCGACGAATTCCCTCATCCTCGAAATAAATCTAATATACATCGTATATTATACATTGTATAAAATAATATGTTATATAAAATCATATGTTATATAAATCGTACGTCATATCTCTTTCAGGCTTACGTCGAATACATCCGCTCTGCCGTCAACGGCGACTCTATCTCTATCTCGCGCGCGATGCGCCCGACGGGGCGATCGCCGCTTATCGCGCGCGCCTAGCGCGCCGCGTCCAGAGACGCTCCCGACGCGCCGTATCCAGGGACGCGCGCGCGCCGTAATCAGGGACGCGCGCGCTCTCTCTCCCTCTCCCTCGCTCTCTCGCCCTCTCCCTCGCTCTCGCGCCGAACCCCTCTCCCGCCCGCTCCCCCCTCGCCCTCCGCGGGACGTCACGACCCTCCGTTTACCCACCCGACGGCGAGCGGCTCCCCTCGCCCTACCTACCCCCCCTGCTCACCACCGCCGCCGTCGCCCTGCCCCTCAGATATCTTTCTATCTCTCTCGCTTTACGAGACCTCTCTCTCGCACCAATGGAAAAAGTGAGTTAAAAACGGCTTATTCTCCCTACTAACAGCAGTGAGAATGACCTTGTCACGTGTGATTTCCGCGTGATTTGTCATCGGATAGCGGGAATCAGAAATCCGGGTTCGGTAGGTTTTTCAAAAGAGCGAGAGCGTGTGTAGGCTACTAAAAGAGATGTGTTTATTGTATGAAATACAGTGTACGTGTGTACGCGTGTAGGATCGTGAGCGCGTGTTGTGAACGTGTTCGATCGCGATATTCGGCGCGAAACGCAGTTAGATGTTCGACACAATATGCAAATTAATGCACGTCATGCGCGCGTGATATAACAATATTGGATTGCACTAAGGATCGTACAATAGTTTTTAGTCGTGTGTATTTTGAATATAATGCGCTTTTGGATCGTATTGATATCTTTAAATGCTATTTACAGCACGTGTTTTGATTACGGCGCGGTCAATGACCGTTTGACGTCGCGCATATGGTTTCTATGTATGCGTGTCTGAAGGATCGGTCTAGTCGGCTTTTCGGCCTTGTGCTGGATTACGGGGAACACGTGCTATATTTCCGCGAAATGGTTCGTATGTGTTTACGAGAAATGCGCGCTGTATTCCTGCGAAATTATTCGTATGCCTTTCTCTTCAGTGAGTATATACATAATCCCATCTTGAGAATCTGTAAAAAATTAATTAATATTAGCTAAAGGCAATAAATTTTATTTAAATATTTTTCCTCAAGTAAAAGACGTAATTGTCATTATAATCAAAAATTTTAAAGATGATCACTAAACTACTAAAATCATTAAGCTTAGGAAATCTATCATTTCCAACAGAATCAAAGTTAATTTTTTGCGACGATGTATTGCGTATAACATCTTTCCATCACATATAGACCGATTGCTGTCAAATTTCAAATTCTCTTATAATAATTATAGATCCAATCTCCAATTTAACAATATGTTATTGACGTTCTACAATAGACTAATACGAACTTTCGATATCGAACTTAGAGACATTTATTACTTCATTAGAAGGAATTATGAGAGGATGTTCCATTTATCGGCTGAAATTTATAGAAATTTACCTGTGTTTGTTTGTAACAATTTTTTTAACAGACAGAGCCGTCCTTTGTTTTGCTTCTATCTAAAGGAGAGTAAAAGACTAGACAAGAAATTTAATTTTTTGTTGTCAAAAAAACGCAACACAAACTGTCTCAAACCTATTAATTATTATTGTCATCAATATCCTGCAGCATCAAATAGTGATTTCGCACCTCAGCGACGTTTCAAGTGGTCGTTTAATAATAACTATGCACCGTCAAATGATGTTATTGAAGTACTGATTGATCCTAATACATTTTTAAACTCACAATCGAATCTGGATGAAATTAGGGATAAATGGTTTGTCAACTTATCTAAGGTGAATATTCCTATTGAGATCCAATGTTTTTTGCAACTTGGCGATAATTTTAACCTTCCTTACATCAACATACCCAACTTAACCATGGAATTTATTAAACATATTGAATGCAACTTACTGAAACTTTCCCCTGAATTAAGAATTCACATTAGAGATAATTCGAAATCCATCATTAAAAATATCCCTTCATATTCATATCCTAGAAATTCACAGAACGATTGGCTAACACGCCTTTATTCGACTACAAAAAAAAAATTTTCTCCTTACGAATAAAGATCTCATTCTCACACGTGCAGATAAGGGGAATGTCACAGTGGTCCTTGATAAAAACGATTATCTAAACAAAGTTGAAGATTTACTTCGAGACGAGAATACATACGTAGTTATTAAAAAAGATCCTACAGAAAAACTAATTTCCAATTTGAGAGAGCTATTATCTAGATGGAAAAACCTTGGTTTCATTTCTAATGCAACCTATAGATCTCTCTTGTTTACTGATGGTACTTTACCTAGAGCTTATGGCCTACCAAAAATCCATAAGATTAACATTCCATTCAGACTCATTGTTTCATCTATTAATAGTCCTCTCTATTCTCTCGCTCTATATTTGCATAAAGTCATGATAAAGAACTTTCCTACTGCCTCCAGCCACATTAATAACAGCTGTGATTTAGTGCATTATTTGACGAGTGTTCGCTTGGATGACGACTCTAAATTGATCTCGCTTGATGTGATTTCCCTGTTTACGAATATTCCGATTGATCTTGCTCTTTTTAGCGTTTCAAATAGATGGAGGTTTATACGGGATGTCTGCGATCTGCCTGAATCGGAATTTTTAAATGCTGTTAAACTAGTTTTAAACTCTACTTTTTTTACTTTTAATAACATTATTTATAAACAAACATTTGGTACTCCCATGGGATCTCCTCTATCACCTATCATAGCTGATATAGTGTTACAAGACTTAGAAGAGAAAGCTTTGAATACGCTAAAATTTACCCCCCGATTATATTTTAGATATGTCGACGATATTTTAATGACAGTCCTTTCTGACTCTATTGACTTGACTCTTTCTATTTTTAATTCTTTTCATGACAGACTACAATTTACATCTGAATTAGAGACTGACCGTAAAATCAATTTTCTAGACGTAATTTTAACTGTTGAAAATAACGTTTTAATTTTTGACTGGTTCCACAAACCTACTTTTTCAGGCAGATATCTAAATTATTATTCCCAACATCCACTTTGCCAGAAGAAGGGCATGATCATCGGTCTCGTTGATAAGGTTTTCTCCTTGTCGCATCCAAGATTTCATAACAAGAATCTCAACCTTATTGTCAAAACTCTCTTGGACAATTGCTATCCTTTGAGCTTTATTTTTGATGTCATTAATCAACGGTTGAGATTCCTAATTAGGAGTCGTGATCGCATTGGACATAGGACACTGAATAATTCCTCCACATTCTTCACGGTCCCGTATTTACCAAACGTCACAGATCAGTTTATGGGCATCACTAAGAACTTGGACGTCAAGCTATCCTATATTAGCTTAAACAAATTAAATAAATTCATCAAAGTACAT